TTAAGTATTACCTTATTTTGTGTTCATAAATTTGACAGCTGATAGCTACTTATGTTTATAAGTTTCAACCTCAAAAAGTGCTTATTTTTGTTTGTGAATTTCTGCTGATACCCATTTTTTGATGATACGTACAGTAAAATGAAAAACTATTGTAAAAAACAAATTCTCCAAGTAAAATTTCATCATCGTCGAAAAGCGATACGTCAAAGTCGTCAAAAATGTCAGAAATATTGTAATAAGGAAAGTTTACTGCCTCGCACTATCCATACACAAATAAAGACAAGCAGTAACTTTATTAAGGGAATCCTTATTTTCAGACCCAAATGTGCATGCGTAGATGTCAAAATAAGGCTAATTTAAATACTGCTTGTCCTTATTGCACGTCCAATAACTCTCTAATCTGAATGCTTCTCCGACAATGGAATCCAATACAAGCTGGGTGCGGCTATTCAGCGCGGAGTTGGAGTGGAATGAACAGAGCTAATGGAGTCACCCCTAATACGGTAAAAAGCAATACCCGAACGGAGTCACTCGGAGTGCACGGAGTGAGCAAGCCGAACCCACCTACAAACACAACAGATGTTACAAGTTTCGATTTGACGAATCCACATGAGCTAGACAAAGATAGATACAATAATTCACGTTGGACAAGAAATAAAATTGATTCAAAAGATGTACTAAGTTTCCGCTTTGAAGTACAATACTCAATACTTCAACTGGATAATGTAGCTATAGCATTTTTACGCTATATTCAGGATGACGTCACATTACATTTAGTAAATTTTTGCTGCCAACCTAACAAAACTAAAAGTACTTTTCAACGCATTTAAAGTAGAGAAATTTCAGATGTTTTTAGTTGGCAACGGCGCGCGACTTTGCATGACTTGTATAAACCTATTCATTATGTTATTTTTAGCTGTCGTCAGAATTATTGACACATGATATTCTGGTACACTATTAGAGAAAAAAAAAAGGCATTGGCAACATTGTCTATTTTTGTTCGATGACGTCATCCTAAATATAACGTAAAAACCTATACTTATCATGTTTTGGAATGAGTTACTTGTTACTTATGATAAATTTGACATCCTTGCATTTTTGGGACTTTGACGTCACAGTCCTAGCACGCGTTACCAATTATTATTTTAATATTCTGATGTAAAAACACACAAAGCTAAGCCAATACAATTTTGATACTGGAGTTGAATGATCATAAATGGTATCAACTCAATCGAAATGACTGGGTTTACACCGGCATCTTTTGATGGTTAAGACAGTTGGCTCAAAGATGAAACGTTGGGATTTCCAGGCCATCTATAAATTACCTATTTATTTTGTTAGAATATTCTAGACAAACTTGAGAAAATGCTGTGAAAACAAGACAATATGCTACTTCATCCGCCCAAAATACTTTTCTATGATAAAAAGTATAATGCAATCTTACCTTTTCAATGTGTAATTACATACGCCTTACTTGGATTACCTACTAATTGTCCCACCTTGACATTGTCCTTGTAAAGTCTCACCTAGATTCAATGAACTGTTTTAAACAATTTATTATTAACGTCCCACTTATACTGTTATAAAACTTGAACTAAAATACATTCTGGTGATAACAAAATTTGTTTATTGATAAAACTATTATCGCCTTGTTATTTTTGTTTTGCTCAAAATATCACAGACAGATTGTTTTTGTTATGTAACGAATGCTTTATATAATAACATTTTGGTTTTGGAAGGTTTGGGTACCGCAGATTTTCACTATTTTTGGTTTTAACGGACGATTATTTCCATTGTAATCCCATTACTGGTTCAAAGTATATATTTTCTCAGCGAGAATATTAATTTCAAAATCATGATCAGGTTTTAGTGTTAATAAAAATGTTAGTAATTTGCCTGTCAAAATTTTAATACGAATTTCAATGAAATATGTCGATGGGAAAAGGACTCTTGATTATAACTATTAATGGGGCATTAGCGGAGCCTGGAAATTGCACACCGGCGATTATAGATACGTGCAGCGAAACCCTGATTAAGGGTCCCCTTAAATTAGGCCCCGAGGGGAGAGCGAGAGCGTGATGTAATGAGAGATAAATTAATCGAGCTCGAGCGTATATATAGTATGCCTCTCTATTCGCCTGGATTTCAATATTAATATATAGAACAAACAAAAGGAAAATTTTATTAAATTACGATAATTTTTGTTTAACAATCATTTTTAATCCATTTTTTGAAGGAAAAATTAAATTTTCCGTCCTAGGGAAATAATGATAAAGGCAGTCACACACTGTTTTTTCATAACCCAAAAGCATATAAGCTGCAACCAATCACAGGTTGTATTAAAAGTCCCATTAGAATAGATATTTGTGCGTTATGCAAAAGCGTGTGTGACGGCCTCTATACACCAGGGACAGTAATAATTACATAGACTACTAGACTACGATTATTCATTAAAAAAAAACAAAGTGGGCCAGTTTTTAGGTTCTTCTCTTCTTTTTTTGTTGGCTGTCAAAAATACTGGCGGCTAAACATAGGACTGCGATCCAACGTTGCCAAATTGATTTCGATGCTAGGCGCATGCCCGCCCACCCCATTGAGACAAGTTTGGCTGTCTCTGTCAGGGCGGGTATTATAAAAACTACTTTGAGAGTTAACTTCTGAAATTACATGTATTTCGAAAAGTTAACTTCAAGTTAGAGAACTTTGACCTTTTATTTTTAGTTTTAAATACTTTCGCTTCTTTCTTTAGAATAACTATAAGTACCTAAATATAAATTCACAATGAAAAAATATACCATATAGCTATCTCGACAACTTTAACCAGACACCCTAGGTCCTTGTCCCAAATTTCGCTTGACTGACCGAGGTATGTTTATGTACGTAAATACTGTAATCAACTGACCAAAAACTGGCTTTAGTAAATTCAGAGAATTTTTTCGGCGCTGGCTCTCGCTATTATTACCATTACTTATTTTCTATTTTTTATTCCGGCCTGTCAAAATGACATTATTATGGATCTCATTTGTAGTGTCAAAATGACATAATTTATTGGATTGAGTACTTTAATGCGATTTCATTAGAGTACTAAATAAACAATCATTATGGCACACGCCGTGTTATCATCAGACTCGGCTGACGCCTCGTTTGATAATATTCACGGCTAATACCATAATGATCGTGATTATGATCCTTATAACATAAATATCTATAATAGGATTAATTTATTACCTACTAATCATGCGAGAATTTATTTGTTGTATAACAGAAATTAACCTTTCATTATTATTGTAACATTATCCGCAATATAAATCTATTTTAAATTTGGCGCTTTATGAAAGGAGGATTTGGCAACATTGGATCGCGATCCTATGTCTAGCCGCCAGTGTCAAAAATGACTATATGTAGGTATATAGAGTGCATTCAATGTACGTAACAGTGGAGACTTTTCACTTTTTAAAATTGTTATGTTGTTTTATTCAAATTTTAGCTTTTTATTTATTATTTAGGTATACATTATTAATTGAAGGATTTTCCTTTTCGAGTTTTATCAGCTAAATGATTAATGGCCTACTATGATCAAATTTTATAAAAGAACAAAAAAAAACGTCTATCAATCTGTCCAGATTTTTCTATTCATTTTCTTTACAGGCTGTCAAAAATGACAGGATAAAGTGCATTCAATGGACGTAGCAATGAAACCTTTTGATATTTTTCACTTTAATGTTTGTTCTTCTAGAATTATTGATTGAGGCGAGGCTGTATTATGAAATTTTAATTCTAGTTTATATATAGGGTGATTCAACAAGGGCGCCTCGGTCAATAATGGTTAAACCGTTAAACTTATGGAAAAATGTTCTGTATAAAAGTTTTCACATTTCATCTCTGCTATTTCAAGTAGGTATACAGGATGTTTTAAGTGCACACAAAAGTCTCTAACTTGCTTATTTTGAAGATAAAAAAAAACTAACACAAGTCTTTAAATCAAATCATTTTCTTCACTACTATATGAAACACCCTGTAAATAAGGATAAATGACATTTCAAGCTCTAAAAAACCTGTATTCAAAATATTTTCAGGTTTATAGTTTTTGAGAAAATTGAGTTGAATGAAATTTTCTTTTCGAATTAAGTAAACAGGGTGTCCAAAATATTTGTTTAAACATGTGAGTTTTATAGATGTTCTTGTTTAAATAGGAGGCATTTTAAATTAACAAATAAATCCTCGTCTTTATAGAGTTAAACCCTAGAAAGACGACATTCTCATTATCTCAAAGCCTCGAAAATTAGCAGACGGTTTCAGTTTATTCCCTCGAGAATATAGATAGACAGATAAGAAGACTCTAGCTTTAGTGTCATAAAGGAAGTTCTTATAAGCTCAAAACTCATCATCTGAAGCTCTAAAAATGTCTAAGATGATTTGCAGCTGATAAAATCTTTACTAGACATTTATGAGGGTCAAATCTCCTAACTTTAATAATTCAGCAAAGAGCCGAAATTTGTCAAAACTGTATTGGATTTATGCCCTCGAGAACCGCATTAAAACGTTTCTATGGTGTCGGGAGATTTTCGTTTTGAGAGGGAGACAAAATAATTTGATATTTTTGAGGATATGTTGCTATAAGGTTATAAGACAGAGAACATCTTTAATTTCTGAAATATTCTATTTCAAACTTTTCCAACTCAAAAGTGTGCCCATCTCTAGTCAACTTTGTAAAAAAATGGTATAAATAAACGCACCTATATCTGGTCCAAAAATCTTTAAAGTAAAAGTAAAGTCAAAGTTTGGTAAAGTAGAGTTGTATTGCTTTGGGGATAATACAGAGAAACTTAGATTTTGATGTTTTGAAACAAAAAAGTCCAAAACTTTCAAATTTTTGCTGATTTGCAAAGTCAAATTAGGATAGGATGGTGATGTTTTGATGTTGAATTGATAATTCTTCAAAATAAAACTCTGTTATATTCATATTTATACCTAATTCTATATTATTCAAGACTTAGTTCCTAATATCTACAAACACAAACTTTGTTACTGTTGCAACTTCCCCCCTTTCTGCCCAATCGCAAACAATTGGCGGCACAACCAGCGTCGTTCAGTTTGAATCCAGCTATTTCGAAGCTGAGCAAGTCGCAGGTGGCTCTTTTAGCAATAACGTGACCTGAATAATGAAAGCATTATTTTGAAAATAATCACAAAAATCAAGAGATTTTTTTAATGCTGAGTTCAATAGGCAAGAAGAAGATTTTTGAATGATTGAATTTGAAATTTTGTAAATAAAAAATAAAAATCTTCAATTTACCTTCTTGTTCTTGAAGTTCTTCTTCTTCAATGGGAGCACTTTGGCTGCTGAAAACCAGTACAGCAAGGATAACGAACAGAAATACAGCTGACTTGTTCATTTTGTTAAATAGTAGAAATATTTACTATACAATTGAAATAATGAACTTCTTACTTCGATAACTCAACAATTGACTTATGAAAACATTGATTTTATATCTTTTTTATTCTTTATATCGGTTTTTGTAGCGAGGGGATTTTTGTGCCGAGAGAACAGGACAGAAATAAGAAGAAATTGAACTGTTTTTTATACCAGACAAAAAGTTGCATGATCTACAAAATCTTTCATTCTTCATAAAAAAAATAAAGAACTATTGAAAGATTAAAGTGAGAAATTATTGAAAAATGTATCTACAAAAGTTGCCGATATTAAATTTTTGATTAAAGTTCGAATCCGTCTCTGCTGGTTCAGTAAGGGTTTTCACTCTTGAGGGGAATTACTTTAGCCGCATTGGAAGATTTCCTTGAACAACAATTAAAAATGGACTGATAAAAATTCTTATAGGCTTGAGATTGATTATCAATTGTTGAGTAAAAGCGTTGTTTTTTGACCTTCTCTTAATGCCTTTTATTTATAAACTTTCCTAGACGATACATACATTATGTATACTTATATTATGTACTTGTATATAAGAAGATTTCCTTTTGTTTGTAATAGGCTATAGGCTTTTGAAATTTTGTATTATTATTTATCTAAATAAAGGGAAATGGAAATTTAAAATCCTTCTCAAAAAAAAAAAGTTCGAAATCCTGTATAGGTAGGTAATAGAAAAAGATAGATTTTTCTGTTGAAATTTTTCTTGAAGTTTTTCATGAATTTTCTTTTTTTATTTTATAATATTTTTCGTGTCGATGTTTGTCTATTCCTCAATGTTGAATTTTTATTTGCTCGTAAATTTTTCAAAGTAGAATTTTTTTTTTAATTTCCTTTCCTCCATTTCTCGTTCTTCCATCTCAATTTTTGTCTACTTTAGCTCCTAGCTCTCGAATTTTGTTTTTTTGTAAAATTATTCAAATATAAAAAAATCAAAAAATCAGACCCTAGTGTTAAAATTGATAATGCTTTTTATCCTCATCAGAGTCCACCTCTATCAAGTATAGCTGTACCTTGGTAGCAAGAGCCGATACTACTTCCAAAACTCTAAAAAAAATTCTCAAATGGGAGACTCGTGATGGAGGTTTTAAGTAGTAATAAGGCATTACTGGATGTACTCTGTTCTCCGGTAAACATATAGCAGGAGTATCTAACAATTTACCTCTAAAACGTTTATATATAGTCCATCCATTAATAACTGATTTAAGAGTGCGCCTGCATTGAAGAATCCAATAGTTTTCCCGTAAAATGCTCATCAATCTTTGTACACCAACATGATTGTTTTTACTGTGTTCTTCGAAAATTAGACGTTTGACAACAACATAATTTGAGGGTGAAACATACGTCATACGAAAGTTTTTCCATTGGTCTTCTCTCTTAATCTAAGATAAAACTGTTGATGAATCTGACCAAAAGAAAACTTCAAGTTTTAAACCGTGATTATTATAAAAGTTTTGAAATAATCGTACACCAATGGTAGCAGCTATAAAAGTTCAAGACGAGGTATAGTAAATTTCTTGACAGGTGCTTCAATTAGTCTTAAACAAACTTGATCTTCATCTACTTCTGTCCTTAAAAAAATACAAGCTGTATAAGCGTCGGCACTTGCAGCACTGAAGACATGTGAAGACTGAGTAGTCGATTCTTTAAAATCTGTAGATATCCATTGAGAAACTTTAACATAGGTCAAGTATGGCAAATCTTGTAGCAATTTCAAAAATATTTCTCGAATTTCTTCTGTGACCTCAACGTCCCATCCCAAATTCGAAGCCTTTTGGAGTAAACGTTTGGGAATAAACGTAACTGGACACGAAAAGCCAATAGAGTCAAACAACTTATGAGTTATGGATAAAATAATTCGTTTGGTTAAAAGTTTTCTTAAGGTGGTAGTCTATAACTGTTCCTAATAGAAAAGGACTACATGATACTCCAAATAACACTCGTGTATCTATATATATAAACGTAAAATTCACTCACTCACTGACTGATTGACTGATTGATTAAACACGAAATCTCGAAAACTACTAAACCAATCGAGATGAAATTTTGCAAACAGGTAGGTAATAGGTTGGAGATGCTCACTAAGAAATAATATCAACATGGCCTTAAGCAATCGCCTTAAATAACCAAAAATAAGAAACGGTGTGGTGCGGGAGTGCGGGGAAAAAAGTGTGTAAACAGAAACAGACGACGTGTCAGCTGTCAAATTCAGAAATACGACAAGCAGAATCAAATTCATAGCGATTTCCATTTGCAGAATCAGTGCAAAAAAAAAATGTGTTTTTGTCGTTACCTATATTTTCGTGCTTCCACTAGAAACGATTCGGAACCGATTCTGAACAAATTCCACCGGTCCCAGGCTAAGTTAACTTCAAGTTTGAGACATGACATTCGCAATTCGTTCACGTATTCGACAGTCTGGAGCAAGGTTCTGGAGTTTTTGTTCGGTTCCAAAACTGTTCGCGATAAAATAGGAACCTGAACCCATTCACAAGTTGGGTTCGGGTTGCTCACTCCGAGTTACTCCGATCGCACTCCAGCCGTTATCTGATAAGCTAAAAGGTAATACCCGAACGGCTGAAGTGCGAACGGAATCACTCGGAGTGCACGGAGTGAGCAAGCCGAACCCAGCTATAACTGGGCATGCGCTCTACGATAGTCCTCAATTAGTTCCGGACTGGTTCGGAATCAGTTCAAAATATGATCTGCGAACAAAGCTATTATAGCAGCGAGTGGCACTTCAAAAAAATTTAACGTCAGCTGTCAAAAAATAGTCTTCATATTCTGCAGCCACAAAGCAGAACAAAAAATGTGGTTTACAGAGAGGTGCTGCAAAAATAAGAATTACATGACCATATGTCTGACGCAACTATCCCCTTAGCTCTTTGAAAGAAGATTACCTAATGCTACCTACCTACACCCTACACCTACAAAATTTGTATAGGGCGTGCGAAGCCGCGGGCAACAGTTAGTGTCTAAATATTTTTAAGTTATCGTCCACAGGAACTTTAACAAATTTTGATCACTTTCTTGTAAACAGCTCTGAAGAAATGCCTTTTTTATATCAGCAGTTACTCCAATCTTCTCTGTTCGAAAACTTGAAATCATTGAAGGGATCAATTCAATAAGATTGATACCCTTTTCCAAACATTGAGACAGAGATGGTTGACTTTTTTCTCTTGATGACGCATCAAAAACAGGTAGTACAGGTGTTGTGGCACTACTAGGTTTGTTAACTGAATGATGTGGCAAAAAACTGACATAAAATTTCAAAAGGTTCGTTATTATCTGATAATGGTTCTATCACTCCACCAATTATCAAAGATTTCATCATAAATATTGTAAAGATTTATTTTTCAATTTTTTCCTGGTGTTAAGAAGTCTTGTGTATGACAAATCAAAATTAGACGGTAAAGGTACTTTATATCGTTTATTATCTTTTTGCTTCACTGCTGACAAAAAATGTTCCATATGACTAATGCTTCTTGTTCCTTTTGAGATTTGTTTTTGACAGGGTCTTGAATTCCAAGAACATCTAAATTCCATTAGTTAGGTAAGTAAAAATCTTTCGAAAACAAAGAAGTGAAGTAAGTTGGCTTCAGTTTACCTATAAGCGTCCAATCTAGTAATGTATGATCTGCGACCAATCCGCACTCTAACAGCCGTATTCATAGTCAATCGCCAGCGAGTCGCCAGGGAGTCGCCGTGTGCTAGGCAAAATACGGCGACTCGCTGGCGATTCGCTGGGATCGACTATAGGTCTGTTCCCACAGGAGTTTCTGATAGTTTGCAAACTGTCAGAAACAATCGCTCAGCTGAGTTACAGATTTATCTTGTAACGACAGCATTGAAAACATGCATGGGCGATGCTTACCGACAGTTTGCAAACTGTCAGAAACTCCTGTGGGAACAGACCTTATGAATACGGCTGTGAATCATGCTTATGTCCCGAAAATAGCTTTCCATCTACATCAGCGCCTAACAAAATATCGATGGGTCCATTCATAGTATCTGTTATCTCGATTCCCATTTCTTTTAGTTGACCTAACCAGGGTCCTTTTGTAACGAAACTAACATAGTTACAAATCAGTGGTTAATCCAAAGCCCCAAAATTACAACAGTAATTTTCAGTAAGACTTATATAGACAAACCTTGTAGCATATGTGATTTACCTCTATTAACAGATCTTCTCTTCCAAATCTCTGTTTCAGACTGTCAACTTCCTTAGCGTAGATACCTTTAGTAACCGGGTAACTATCAACCAGCTGTCTTGCTCGAGAACCTGAAAGTCGTAGCCTGTAGTTTTGTTGCCTTCTTAATTTCTTTAAATATGAAAAATTCAACAAATAGAGAATGAGATGAACATTTTTTGAAATTTTTTAATGCGTATTTGTTCCTAAAGATTCTTTTTCTCCGAATGACAGTAAAAGTGGCCTTTTAATGACACTTGACAGGATCAAAAGTTGTATTTTTACTGCCTAGGCAGTAAAAGTGACAGTGTCACAATGTTCCAGGTAATAATTTCACTCAATTTGGTATTTGAAATTGATGGTGACAATGACAATTGTCAAAATAATTTAATTATTTGGATAATAATAATGGATGAAATAAATATAAAAAAGATGTCCATGTGTGAATTTGAATATTCGGAGAAAAAATTATATGTTTTACATGGCAGACAAGCAGATTTAATGCCTCGGCTGGTTTCCTAGCCTCGGCTATGAAACACCAGCCGCGGCATTAAATCTTGTACTTTTCTGCCTTGTAAAACAAATAACTATTAGAGAATGTAAATTTTGTATAAAAAAATCCTGAAAATTGAATTTTTTGAAAAAAATTAAAGGATCTCTTATGAACATATCAATTTTCCGTTAGAGTCTGAAATAGAAAAACTTTATGTCTATACTTTGTCTACAATTTCTCCATCCAAATTTTTCTGTATTTTTGACTCTTGAATTTTTGTTTTCT